TTCCACCACACCCGGTTCCGATGAGGTGCGTCGCTGAGAGGGTTACGCCCCAACGAAAATCTTTTGGGTTTCATCTCCATAAGAGTGGCTGAGTTTTTACATTGGCTCGCCAAGCCTACCACAACCCTCCTCCTTTACCCGGGCTTGGGACCGGCTATGTTGAGACAACATAGGCGGAGTTAATGATGCAACATTTTTTATTTTGAAAAATGCTTTTTGTTGTGTAGTCTGGTAAATATTTTTGTGTTTTTGTGAGAGCTGCAGAGTTGTTGTTCTCTTCACTGGCTGGTAATGTATAAGAGGCTTGTCATGGCTGAACTTTAGAATTTTTTTTAACTTAGACCAGGATCAAAGTGTTAGGCCTTTGATTCTAAAAATGAAATGATGCAATTGCAACTACCACCAGCAACCCACAAACAAAACCAAAGTAGTTACTTACAAAAAGGGAAACTTTTATGCATCTAACTATTATGTATGAACACTAATGTAGGAGTTGTTATTGGACTAAGCTCTGGTATTGGAGTTCTGCTTCTTGCGGTAATTTCAATATTGTTGGTCCAGATGTGGAAGAGAAGCATTAGAAAGAGAGTTCGGAAAGCACACTTCAGGAAAAGCAAAGGCCACCTCTTGGAGCAATTGATCTCATCCAATGAAAGTGCCACACATAGCACTAAAATATTTTCATTGGATGAGTTGGAGAAGGCAACAACCAATTTCGACTCCACGCACATTCTAGGCCGTGGAGGGAATGGCACCGTTTACAAGGGAATCTTATTAGATCAACGTGTGGTGGCCATAAAGAAGTCCAAAATGGTAGATCAAAGAGAGATTGATCAATTCGTCAACGAGCTTGCAATCGTGTCGCAAATCAATCATCAAAACGTGGTAAAACTTTTTTGGTGTTGCCTTGAGTCGGAGATGCATTTGCTCGTGTATGAGTTCATCTCCAATGGCACACTGTCTGAACATCTTCATGGTGACCAGGTGAGTGCTAGATGCTTATTAACATCGGATGATCGTATCAGAATTGCTAGCGAGGCAGCAAGTGCACTTGCTTACCTCCATTCCGCTGCTTCCATACCAATCTTTCACAGAGATGTGACATCCGCCAATATACTCTTGACTGATAACCTCACTGCAAAGGTTGCAGACTTTGGTGCTTCGAGATCCATTTCCATCGATGAAACTTGTGTGGTCACTACAGTTCAGGGTACATTTGGATACTTGGATCCTGAGTATTACCGTACAGCCAGCTAACTGAGAAGAGCGATGTTTACAGTTTCGGTGTGATGATCGTCGAGCTCCTGACCAGGGGCGAACACACGTTAAGGTGAGTGGGGGCCTGGGCCCCCACTGAAAATTTGAAATTTCAGTAAGATTTGCTTGTGTTTCTCAAAAAATATGCTTAATTTCCTTGAATTTCTAGAGAATATGCCCCCACTCCAAATACTTTCTAGGTCTACCACTGCTCCTGACAAGACAGAAGCCAATCTTCCTTGATTCCTGTGGTGGAAAGCAAAGCCTGTGCCACTACTTCGTTCGAAGTTTACAAGATAACACTATGATGGAGATCATTAACACTCAGATTGTTGAGGAAGATAACGGTAGACAGATCGACAAAATGGCCTCCCTAGTGAGAGTATGCCTGAGGCACAAAGGAGAAGAGAGGCCTACCATGAAAGAAGTGGAGCTAAGGCTGCAGCTCCTTAGAGGGAAGATGGTAGTGAAGAAAAACCATGCATTACAGATGAACAATGAAGCCGTGCCATTGCTACCTTCAAATTATTTTGGTGCTAGTCCCGGTACACGGCATGATGAGTTGTTCTCGGCTGCTAATTCGTCGTCAGCTCAGGGTGGCACCCGATGCTACACCATGGAGTGAGAGCTTGTTTCTTGGACATACCTACCTCGCTAAGTTCTGCTTCTTTCTTAAAGTTTTTAGTGACGATTTTCTGTACTCTTTTATCATTTGGTCTACATGCTAGAATACCAAATGGATCGATCTTTGCGCCTCTGTTCTAAGAATCAAAATAGCTTGGTCCTTTTTGTATCACAATATTATTGGTATATTCGTTGGCCCTTTGGCACATGGTTGAGATAGCTGAATAAACAGTCTTGAATCTTGAAGAGATGCATGTCATGTGATGATGACTATGTGATCTAACAACTTCATACAATGCACTTTATGACATGCGTAGGACGGTAGGAGAACTGTTGGTGAAGAGGCTTCTGATGTCTGTTTTAAGCAGACGAAGGCTTTTGCAGGTTAAATATCCCCATCTTTTAGTGGTTTAGTGCCATGCTTGAACAGCATTGATAAAACAACCAGATGGGCACTTGGATAGTGAGGTTTTCATCGACTTCAGCTGGGCGTGATTTATTTACAGCAACAAATGATCAACATATACTACATATTCACCGATACTGCTACTGCTACACAATACACCCCTTATGAATTTGATGTACAGCTTTTGCATCTTGTGTCGCCTTTGCCCAGCATCTCAAAATCAACAGAAACGGCCAAGACAGTAGCAGGAAACAATATCCAAATATTCTTAATCTTCTTGGCCTCGCGAGACTTCAGAATGCTAGCCATTCAATCTCAAGCCTCCCAGCCGCAGTCTTCTTCTATCAATTAATTGTTCACTATTTTTCTTGCCATGGAGCCAACTGTAGCAACAGAAAACCACATAACAGGAGAACACAAGCCTCGACAATGTCATATACCATTATTTCATTGATGATGAATCCAGCTCCAAATAATATGTGCGGTCTCCTAAGCGCTGACCACAGTGGTGCCCTTGATAGGTCATCGCCCTGAGTTGCTATTGCCTTCAGTTGCTAAGCTGTCTAGCAAGTCACTTCCTTTGTAGCTTGTGCCACCAAGCCCAGGATTGGATGAGCAGCGGCTGTTTGCAACAGACAAGGATGCTGATGCTGTCTTGTTACGCCCAGCATCCCAGACAGCAAAATCTGTATTTTCAAGGAGACCTTCAGAGGCAATCCTTGCATCTCGGAATGGTGCATTACATTTTTGCTTTGAAAACTTAATGCAAGCCTCCTTTGCTGATTCAAGACAAGAAGCCATTTCTCGTTCTTCGCATTCTTCTCTTTCTTGATAGTTGGTTGTTGCACCTCCAAACAAACCTTTCCACCAGGGTGGCTTGCATTTTCGTGTTGCAGTGATTGAACAGCCAGAGCGTGCACCAGCCTGCAAAATGATGAACCAATCTGCTGTTCATTCCGTTTGTAGGAAAAGATCCATTGTTCACAGTTAGGGGGATTAAGTACATCATGCAATTAGGAATGATGAACACAAGCCAAATGGGCTTAGACCAATGGAGATCTTTAGGAAGCAATGCTTCTACTTGTACACGAAATACACAACATATACATCTGTCATACTACTAACCAGCATGCACAGTAGATTTGCTCCAGCTAATTCCAATTTACTCTTGTCACATCAAGAATGAATTCTGACAGTAAGAACTCAAGGTGAAAACAGAAAGGTGCACTTCAAATGCTTAATCGCACAATACAACATATAACTATGCACCCACATGCAATTTAATCTTGGCATCTATAATAGATGCAGACTTGCAAGATCCTAATCTGATTATTAGCACTTTCTCCACAAAAAACAAAACGACAACACAAAAGAGTAATGATACAAAAGGTGCACTTGATTTGCCAGTTCAACTGTAGAACATCACCAACCAAGACAGCTAAAGCTAAGCAGCCATGAAGTGGTTTCTGCTCTCTTCGCTGTGCGCAGCTGAGAAATTTACCGACTAGCAGTACTAGAGCAAGTCAGCTCGGCCAGCTGCCAAAGTAAACATTCCTCGTCTTCCCAGACATGGAAGAACAACAAAATTGGTCAACGAGGTCCGTCTATATATGTAGAGATACATCGAAAAATCAATCTAGACTCAAGAAAATCTCGGTCGACTGAGAATTAGCATAGCAGCAACACCACAGAAGTAAAACACGCACGCGGAATATATGCCATGTTATGGAAACCCCGAATAGCAAGTAATCTTGGGTACTAGTCAGGAGCTTGTCTGCACTTTACTGTTTGATGTACGCAGCTGCTAAACTTGCTGCCTGGCATTGACTAGCGCAAGGCAGCTCGGCCAGCTGCAAGAACAAAAGACGCAAATGCTTCCAGTGCACTGCCATCTGAATCAGCGTCTACCTTACAGATCTAAACAATCGGGGTCTCGTCATGTGATGATCCAGGCATGCGAAACAGACACAGATTACCAGTTGTGCAGGGGCTTACCTCGCACTGGGAGAAGAGGCTGGCCTCGGCAGCCTCCCAGGCGGCGCGCCAGCTCGCGGCGTCGCGGAAGGCGAGGACGGGGGGGTCGATGGAGGCGGAGGAGGAGGAAGGGACTGGCGCGCGAAGCAGAGGGAGGGGCGGGTCAAAGGGCACGACGGTGGCCGCCGGGGAGTAGTCCAACGAAACCTCGCCGCCCCCGCCCGGCAGCGGAATGTCCATTGTTCGTGCTCCCTGGCGGCGGATTTGCGTGGGACAGATCGCTTATTAGGGTTCGCGACACTCTTCCCTTTGAGATGGGCCGGGCCTAAAGAACTCGAATCGTGGCCCAAACAAACAGGCCTCATATGGCCCATACATACATGTCCACCACATATACGACGTGTCCCCTCCGGAACCGGAGCAAAAGGATTCGCAACTCACGATGGAAACCACGACGCTGTAAGCCGGATCGATCGCCGTCCTCCAAACCCAATCATGGCTCCTCTCCCTGAATCCTTTAGCTGCAACAATAACCGCTGCTTCGCTGCAAGATCGTGTTACTGCTTCTACCTCCGCCGCGTCGACAATGGCCGAGACAGAGACGCCACGAATCGCCGGATGCTTGGACCGGTGGAAGAAAGACGGGGCCGACGAGGCCGTGGCGGCGGTCATGGCGCTCGCCGACGCCGTCCGGTCCAGCAAGGCCGACACCATGGCGGGGCTCCTAGCCGAGGTCAAGGCGGCCGCGGAGGAACTCAAGGTCAGCTCTAGAGCTCTTGATCTCTATGTACTGATCGAGTTTCTAATAAATTTTTGCACACGCGGACCGTATGTAGACGAGTTTTTATGCCTGATCGACGACACGTTGATGGATGAAAACTTGCAGTGTCTAGATAGCGAGCCGTACGGCGCGCTCTCGGCGGCCTGCGACATGTTCGTCCGGTACGTGCGTCGCGGCGGCGCCGTCGCCGATGATCAGCCAGCCCAGTTCCCCGCCCTCAAACGCCGCCTGGTCAGCCGTGCCATCAGATTCGGGGACATCTGCCGAGGCGCGCGCGGGGCCATCGCGACGCTCTGCCAGGACTTCTTGCTGGACGGCTGCACCGTGCTGGTGCACGGCTACTCGCCGCCCGTGCTCGACGCTCTCCGGCTGGCCGGCACCAGCGGCAAGCGCCTCCTGGTCCTATGCACCGGTACGCACCTATGCATGCATTATTAACTCGCGCAATAATCAAACCTTCGTGATATTGCCAATAATGTTTGGAGCCTAATTTGATTTCGTCTTGCAGAGGGTAGGCCGGACGGCGCGGGGCTGAGGCTGGCCGGGGAGCTCGCAGCGGCCGGGGTACCGGCGACGGTCCTGCTCGACTCGGCGGTGGCCTACTCAATGGCCCAGGTCGACGTGGTGCTGGTAGGCGCTGACTTGGTCACCGAGACGGGCGGCGTGGTCGGCGCCGTTGGCACGTACCAGGTCGCCCTGGTGGCTCGCGCCATGGGCAAGCCTGTCTATGTGGCAGCAGAGAGCTACAAGTTCGCAAGGCTGTATCCGCTGGGACAGAAAGACATCGAGCAGCGCGGTGGCCGAGCCGTGGACTTCGGCGACGTGCCAGTGCCGGCCGGCGTGGACGTCGAGGCGCCGGCGAGGGACTACACCCAGTCGAAGTACCTGGAGCTTCTGATCACGGACCTCGGCGTGCTACCGCCGGCGGCCGTTGGAGACGTGCTCCTCCAGCTCTCCATGTAAATTGCCGATTGAACGCCATTTTGGTTTAGTGGAAAAAGCCCCGTGCGTGATAACGGAAGAAAGAAATATACCGATTACTCTCTCCGTTTCATATTAGTTGTCGCTTAAACGAATGTATCTAGCACTAAAATATATCTACATACATCCATTTCAACAACAACTAATATGGAACGGAGGGAGTAGAACATATTCGGCAGATATTTGTCTTTCAATCTTTTTGATTTGATTCTCGATTTTTTTATCCAGTTTTCT